CCCAGTTACCATAAAATTCATCATCTCTTTAAACCGCCCTTATTCATCAAGCTTTTTTATTACTACTTTAATTTTTTATATTATAATATTACATAACCTTTCTCTAGAATACAAATTATAATCTAAAAAAAATAAGTAGTAGATATTCTAATTTTAAATTAACATATTAGTCTAATTTTAATTTAAAATTGATAATATTTTTTAAAGATAAAACAAAAAGGATCTAAATAGACCACCAAAACGATCATTTTTTTTTTTTATAAGGCTTAATAGAGTTGAGTTTTAAAAGTTTAGTTACAAATTTTTTTGAATTTTTAAGCTTATAATCCTTATAAAAATAAATTTAAACGAGCATGCTGGTCAAACTCACTCATAATCCAACTTTTTGTTGGATTTGGAATTAAGTTAGTCAAAGAAGAGGAGTACAATATTGGGAATAAAGTTTTTCTTCTCACAATTGGATGGAGAAAAGTGGTGGAATCCACTCTTTACCTTCTTTCCTATTTTTCTTTAGGAAAATCTCACCTAGGGCTTCAAGGGAAATATAACTGCACTTAGAACCCATATACTATGATATTATTCTGCAAGTCAATGGGTCCTTTTTGCAAATATATTTTTGGGAGAAATGACACAATTCTCTTAGTGAGAACAAGCAACAAGTACAAATTTAAATTTTTATAACTATATGTTCACAAATACAACTTTAGGTTTTTATATTAATAAATAATTATCTATTGGAAGTGAAATTTATTGTGTAAGGTTGACATGTTCGTCTTGGCCACTTAGTAAATTCACATATTAAAGTTCAAATATTTACTAGTATAGGTTTATTTATTTACAAGTCAAAGTCTAGAATTTATAACTCATATATTCAAAACTAAGATTCATCATCATAACAAAAGTTTAGATTTTTACAACTATATATCATCAAGTCATAATTTTAGGTTCACATATTAAAAAAGAATTGTTCATTGGTAGTGAAATTCTTATTTAGGATTGATAAATTTATCTTAGCTAACCTGATCAATTTACAACTTAAAATTCAATATTCACAAGAATATGTTTATCTACTCACAAGTCAAAATACATAATTTATGATCTCATCTATTCAGAATTGAAGTTCATCATGATAACAAGTTCATATTTTTATAATTGGAAGTTTATAAATTCATAATTTTATATTCACATATTACAAAATAATTATCCATTGATAGTGAACCCAAAGTTCTTTATTTTTCACCAAGGGCAATTATGTTTTTTCTTCCTAAAACTATTTGCCAAAAAAAAAAATCCTTGAACTTGCAGAATAATTTTAGAATACATTAGATCCTAAGTGCAATTTCTTTTCCTTTGGAGGTGTAGATAAGATTTTCTCTTTTTCTTTTCTCTCAATTTTCTCTTACTAACTAAACAAGGAAAGTGTTTTCTCCCCCCCCCTTCTTTTTTTTTTTTTAGTTTTCTTTCTCTCATATTTTCCTTCCATCCAAACCCAAACAAGAGGTAAGGGAAATATTTGAGATGTATGTTGGGGTGAGAAAAATAAGCTGTTTGATACCCTGAATAAATGATATCCTCTATTTGGACAGAGTGTTTTCATTATGTATGGAGAGTCATGTTTGACAAAGATCTCAAATGTGAATCTTCATTGTGCTTTGATTTGAACAAAAATGAATTAACAAACATGATTGTTGAATAAGCCACATCAAATTGAAACTTCAATAAAATGAGAGGCAAAAAATTGAAATAAGCACAAAAATAAATGACATTTCTTTTTGAGTTAAAGTGGAATCATTTATTAATCAAAATTCAGAACTGTACAAAAGAACAAAGGGGAGCCAACAAAATTACATCAAAATTTTAAAGGTGGGAAAAATCCCAAGAGTATGGTCAACTGTATCTCTAATGTGTATTAAAAAAGTATCAACAGTAATAGTCTCGCCATTGAAGATGCTTAAGCCAAGCTTCCATGAAATATCCAACAACGGAGATGGTAGGTTATCACTCATCAAGGAAAGAGCATTCTTCCTATACAAGTCAGCGTATATATCAGATGGCAATGGCAGGACCTTCTTCCAAACCTGAGCTGCAAATGGGCACTCTTTGAGAACATGGTTGATGTCTTCTGTTGGACTATTGCAGAGAGAGCACTGCTGATCATTTGTCATCATTCCTCTAAAGCATTCAGCATTTGGGAGTAGCCTCCCTTTAAACATTAGCCATAGAAAAGTTCTGACTCGTTGAGCTGCAAGTAGTTTCCAAACATGTCTCCAAAGGCCATCAACATCATTCCAATCAAGTGATTGTAAAGCTCTGTAAGCTGATTTCACACTAAATTTACCATTACCATTGAATGTCCAGCTACAAGGTCATGGGGCGGGGTTGTTGATTTCAATGGAGATAGCTCTGATCTGATCAAGGGTTGTCTTTGGTAACAGAGCCTGGAAGAGATGCCATTTCCCAAGCCCAAAATAAATGGACATTGATCTCATCTTTCATCCAATCAAGCATTGAGGTTGTTTCAAGCATGATTGATATATTAATATCAGATGACAGACTTGGTAATAAACTTAGAAAACTGCAAGTACAAACTGTTCTAATCCACCAATAATCCATATATCAAACACCCACTTAAATGAAAAAACTACTTACACAAACTAGTGTATTTAATTCATTTATCTACTAGAAATTAAATGAAAAGGAAAACAAATTCAAATTTCATTCCATTAAACAGATCCAAACTTCATTCACTCGCTTTCCTCTTATACCACACAAGACCATTAGCAAATCACATGCAAAACAACTTCTCCTTTAAAGATCCATTTTTCAAACAAAACAAACAACCTTATATCATGGATTTGTCAAATATTGGCCCAAAAAAATAAAATAAAAGATAAGTCAAATAAAGCTAAAAACCGTTGGTATTGAATATCTACATTCATTACTTCAGATAACATCTCTAAATGGCAGCAAGGACTATATGATCAGAATCATCTCTACTGTCACGGATTCTTTTCCCCAAACATGTGCTTAAACAAAGATCTGTAATTAAATGAATAGAATCTAGGATGAAGGCTCTTCAATGAGGATTTTGCCAACAGATACAAGGCTTTCCACATAATTGAAAATACGTGCATTGGAATCACCACATCTGCGAGTAGTAGTAAACATCTCCAACCCATTAGTACTGATATTTAACAGACACAGAAAAGTAACCACTCCATTCTCAGCTTCACATTTAGTTTCATCACCATGTCCAGGTATTTCAAAAATGTTGTAGACAAGTTCATTCCTCCAAAAATGGATGGAAACAACAAGCCTATGGATGAACAGGTGCTAGAGAATATCTTAGTCCAACTTCGTCGCTCCTCATCAGATGCACCTACACGCTCCTCCATCAACCACAAATCAAACATACAATCAGTGTCTGCATTTGTAGCATGGGAATATATAGCAAGTTTGTCCTGACAAACCATTGGGTGATAAATAGCATTATTGGCAAACGCAGGTAGAGGTACAAATTCAAACACTTCTGAGGCTATGTCAAATGAAACTATTACATCAATATCATCCCCAACCATCTCCAATCCATCAATAATCCAGTCCAAAACATAGATCCATTAGCAGTTATAGCGTCAGTTAGGAATCGTGTACCTGCCATGTAATCAAAGTCTACTACTTTCCATGACCCTGTGCTCAATGAAAACACTTCCACTCTGTAAATCTCATACTCATACTCAGCATAAGTTCTCACTATCTTGTAATCATTAACAATGGGACTGAACCCAAATCCTAAATGGGAATCGGATTCACTGAAAAAATCATCAATAATCATGGGCAACTTTATGACCCCTCTTGTCGCCGGATTCCACAATAAAAGGGGAGGAGGACATGTATCTTGCGTATTGATCTCAACACAGAGCTGAACACAGAGCAAGCCATTGCTGGAACCCTTGATCTTAAAACGCGAGGCATCGAACAAAGGTGGGTTCAGAAGTTGATGGACTTGCATCTGGCGATCGAGCAAATATAACTGGGAAGGGTGAAGTCCTTTGCATTTCGGTTGAAAAAGAAGACAAGGGTTATGATGAGTTGAGTGATGGAGGTGGTCAGCGATGAAAGATGGGGCGTTGATGAGATTCTTCCAATCTCTGCAAACACATTGAAATCGGATTAGAGATTTCACAGAGAGGCGTTTGAGAATGTTTCTAATGACGTCTTCGGGAAGGAATGGCGCGACTCCGACAATCATCATTGAGGAAAGCCTTCCCAAGAGACCGTTAGGGTTTAGATTATCCATCCTCTCAGTCCTTGCCTTCATCAGAGAGAGCAGAGAGATCGTCTTGAATTTGGAAGTTGGCTGCTTTCTATTCCTCCCCTCTTCATTTCCTCTACATCTTTTTATTCTTATATCAACCATTAAATTTTTTTTTAATAATTTAAATTTAATATTTTATAAAATTATTATTATATTTATTTTTTAAAAATTTTATAATTTAATAATAATTTTATAAAATATTAAATCTAAACCATTAAAAAATAAATTCAATAATTATGAATTCTTATATCAACCATTAAATTTATTTTTTAATAATTTAGATTTAATACTTCATAAAATTATTATTATATTTATTTTTATAAAATTTTATAATTTAATAATAATTTTATAAAATATTAAATTTAAATTATTAAAAATAAATTTAATAATTAATATGAAAGTGCAGAGGAAATGAAAAAAAAAGGAAGAATCGTGCCCTTATTTTTTCATCTTACTGATAAATTTTTTTAGTTATATATTATTGATGATAAATTAGACTTCTTTTACACGCTAAATTTTCATTTTGTAAGCTCGATCAGTCTATGGTCTCTTAATTTAATTGGTCCATTATTTTGTCAATAAAATTAGAAAAAAAATAATATTATTGTTGGTTCTTATACTTTTAATATGTTTTGGTTTTAATTTTTATATTTTTTTCATTGCTTCTAATTAGAACCAGAAAAATAGATCAAGTTCATTTAAACTTCAAATTAACTATTTCCTCCGTTTAAAAATATAAAATATTTTTAATCAAATCTCACTCATAATAAAGTAGTTATTTATCTTCAAACTAATCCTATCTTTCTATATTTACTCTTATTAAACATCCTAAAATAAATATAAAGTGATTTATTCACTAGAGTACTTTTAAAAAAATAATGATTACACTTTAAAAAACTAAAAATACCTTTCATTTTTTAACATCCAACTTCTTAAAAAATATCCTATAATTTTTAACTGAGGGAATAGAATTAGACTACTGATTTAGGAATTATAATTAAATTTTGGCTTAAGGTGCCAACCTTAATAGGCCTAAAATTACGATGGCCAATCCTTTTAAATCCTATTGCTATTATTTTTTAATTTCAGGTTAAAAAAACAACTATGATATGATGTTGTCAATGATATTGCTAATATCTAGTCTTTATCGACGTTCATACTTGGATGTTTAGGCTTAATTTCTTGGAATAGTCTTTATTGATTTTAGACCATTCATGCTTAATATCTTTGGTAATAACACTAGGATGATGTTGCTATGTCATAGATTTGTTGTAGATTTACTTCAATTTATTTTTTTAAACTTTAATCTTATCTGTAATAGGTTATGTTTGGATCATAAATGTGCATTAGGTATTTAAATTGTAAAAAGAATATATATATATATATATATATCTTGCTTTTTTATTTTTGCCTTTTGCTCAGTTATGTCCTCCCCCCTAAAACCTCTCTCTTTCTGGGTAGGGAAAAGAAAGGAATGTTTGATGGGGCTGTTTATGTAATAAAACCTTACATGATATTCTAAATTAAAATCGATGTACTATTATGACAACAAGTTTCTTTAAAAGTTCAACCGACTTTAAATCTAAAATCTCTAATTATTTTTTAATATCCACAGTAAGTAGTCGCCAAAAAAGGAAAAACTCTACATCATCATCATAAATATATAATAGACAACTATTTCACAAGTTGATGCTTATGAATAGTAAAATGGGGGGTATTTTGGGCTTTTCATGAGAGGTGGAAAAGAAATTCCTCCACATTGTAAAAAAAGAAAGGGAGGTTGTGGGCATTTTAGTCTTTCATTATTAATAACTCAAAACCAAAGGAACCTGACATCAAGTTTCTATACAACTTTATATCCTTTAGGTTCTACCATGACCAACGGTATAAAGCAAATATCCATTTTGTTTTGTATCTTGAATTTTCCCTTTTACATTTACACACACGTTTACCTATTTTCCTATTCCTTAAAAAACCCTACCCACTTGGTGGATTACACATTGAACAGTCACATTGTCGTTCGCTCATTCTCTCAACAAAATCCTCCCAAATTTCTTCTCACCCTTTTAATATGTCGGCAACCTTCTTTTGAAATAGTTTTTTTGTGGAACCCATAGCAGGCTTATCCTCCTTAATCTCCTCGATCTCAGTCTTCTTTTTTGTTCTAGGGTTTGTTGGCAACTGGTGGTCGTCGACCCTTCAATTCTCCACCATCAACTTCTCAACTGTTCTTTGTTTTTGGTCTCTCCACCTCAGTATGGATGCTTCTAACCCTATTGCATCAAACGAACAACATTATGGTCTTCTCAACACCTTTGATTGAAGCAAGATCACATGGCATATACTTGTGAAGGTAGACTGTATTTATGCAACACACTCATTTATTTTGTGCAGAAATTTGCCTCCTTTCAATTTCGTCCTCTATGACTACTTACCCATCCCTATTTATTCATGGCGTCTTGAGCAAGCTAGCTCCTTTGAAAGAAACTCAAAGGTAAGAAGTCACTTAAAAGTCTTCTTTTTGGCATTGTTTCATTGAAGCTTAATTTTTAGTGCAAAAGATTAATTTTCTCTGTCACTCTCTGAGTTTCAGAAAACAAAACAATGAAAGTAGAAAGGAATGAGTGCAAGAAGGGATTGTGGATGAAGGAAGAGGACACGGTGTTGATGGAATGCGTTGGCCTTAATGGAAGAAGGCATTAAAACTGCATTTCAAAAGTCATCAGTATTGTATATATTATTTGATATTTGATTCTAGAAATTCATATTTGAGTATGATTGTGAGTGTGTGTGTGTGTGTGTGTGTGTATGCATGTAAATTTACTGCGTAAGATAGAGCATGTAATACTATGGCTTCAAAGTCTCCACTAAGATACAACCACATCTATTCTTGTACAGTTATTTTTTGTTTGGTAACAAGTTCTGCCAATTACATATAATGATACATAAATAATAATTGATTTCTTGAGTCAACTTAGTGAAGTTGACATATCACTGCCTTAGAATTGAATAAAGCTAAAGAATTCATTATGCAACACATGTGGATGTACTTTACATGAAATCTATTCCATTTTATAATTTCTTGCATTATGGATTATTGTTGTTATGAGGACATGGATCTCAACTAGTGAAAAGAAGTGCCAAGAAGAATGAAATTAAAAATTATAGTTAATAAGTATATAAGATACCAATAAGCTTTTGTACAAAGCATCCCTTCAACATAAATATAGTTGTCCAATCCATTCATATTGATTAAATTGATAATAGCCAATTTTCTAAATTATTTTGAGAATATAAAATGTTCTAATTTTTACTAATGATTATAATGTCCACATAGATTCTAATTTATCAAGATATTGGTGAGCATTTATTAATGTCAATTACTTGCCATTAACACTACAAATCTCTAAATGGATTTTAATTAAAATGTCATTGTCTATCCAACCAATCCTTGATGTTGTATTTCATTACATAAAAAACTTTCATGTTAATTATAACAAATAATTACTAGTATAAAATATGAAATTTAAGGCGTACTTTCTACATCGATTGAAAGGAAAATGGTGTAGAAAGTTAAGGCGGTGGCATTTTTGTAATTTTAACAACTCTTATTATAGTTTTTACACCGGATGAAAAGGGAACCGCTGTAAAAAAAACTTTCTACAACAGGTGCATAGTCACCCGCTGTAGAAAATCACCTTTCTACAGTGGGTGGAGCTCACCCGCTGTAGAAAGGTGCTTTTCTATAGCGGGTGAAGCTCACCCGCCGTAGAAAGGTGTTGACTTGCTATAGAAAAGCAACTTTCTACAGTAGGTGAGCGGAGTGATTTCTACAGCAAGTAAAGCTCACCCGCTGAGCTTTACCAACTGTAGAAAACTACTTTCTACAGTAGGTAAATTGTCACCCACTGTAGAAAGTAATTTAAATTTTTTCCTCTCCCAATCCTTTTTGCTTCAGCATGTCTCCTCCCTCATTTCCTCTTCTTTATGCCTTCAGAAGTGTGCTCTCATTCCTCCTTTCCCCTGAGCTTAACCGACGCCCTTTCCTTCCTCCTTTCCGACAACGTCCCCTTTTCCCTCGCATTCCCACGCCCCCTCCCCCTCCTCTTCCCCTTTCCTCGCTCCCCTCCCCTTAAATTTTAAAATTTATTCTTTCCCTTAAATTGTTTAAATTTAATTGTTATTGATATTGATTGTTATTGAAAGTACTGTTAGTGACTTCATAAAGCCTTAGGTTGTTGCAAGTGATCATTAATTTAGTTTAAAATTATCAATTTTCTCTATTAAAATTTTTTAAAAGTCTTGGGAAGTCCAATTTTCAGGAGAGACTCTGTCAAAATTTTTTAAAATTTACTCTTTCCCTTTGAATTTCTTAAATTTAGTTTTTAAGAAGGCCTCATCAGGTTGTTTGCATGTAGTCATTTATTTAGAAATTTAAATTTTGAAATAGTTTGAAGGTAATAACATTAGTTATATTCTTTAGGAGTTGACATATAGATTGTAGTTGGATGAATGCTAGACGAACGAGTGATAAGTATGATAATGGGGTGAAGAAATTTTTAGAATTTGCTAAGAAAAATGCTGTTGACAATAGTGTAAGGTTCTATTGTCCTTGTGTTAATAGCTTAAATGAGAGGAGATTAGGTGCTGCTGAAATAAAAGAGCACTTGATCTGTGATGGGATTTGCAAGAATTATACAGTATGGATTTGGCATGGTGAATGATTGAAAAATTATAGTAACACGTTTCAATATGTGAAAATTGATAATCTGGATGATGAAATAGATATAAATGAAGATTGGTTAGAGGACATGATCTATAATGTTTGGGAAGAAGCTTTTTAAACGAGCACATGTGTATGATAATTTGTGCACTGATGCAGAGTAGCCTCTATACCTGGGGTGTACTAATTTTAGTTTGTTATCTGGGATATTAAAACTGGTTACCTTAAAGGCAAGAGCTAGGTGGAGTGACCAAAGTTTCACTTAGTTTCTAGAGTTACTTCAAATAATGTTGTTGAAAGGCAATGTAATACTAAATCTTTAT